TGATGGGACATTTAATTAATTTCTGTAAAACAGTGCAATTGCCCAGATCCAAATAGTTTGTGTCTTGTATTTACAATAGAAATAACCATCAAGTGCATCCTACAAGGATCTTCAATATATATGTGACCCAACCTCATAATTGATGTAGGTACAGACTCTTTAATTTACTACTTCTAAACAAAATCTGTACAGACTTTTAACATAATAAAACAACCTGTGCTTATATGATTTGGGGGATATGCAAATCAGTTTGCCATATGTTGGCTTCTTATATTGTTAATGGTTATGTTCCAAGTTACATGATGAGTTCATGTAAAAAATTAAAGTTAAATCTGTGAAAACTGCTTATTAAACAAACAAAAAAATATATTTCTGTAGATCAGAAAATATAGACTGGGTTGCAGCACAGTTGTGGAGCACATGCTTAGCACATACAAGGTCCAGCAACAATAGAGAAAATAAATATCATTAAAAGACAAAAAAAAAAAAAGGATGGGAATACAGCTCAGTGGTAGAGGATTCACCCAGCATGTGGAAGGTCTCTGTTCAATCTCCAATATAAACAAACAAACAAATTATACCCCCTCACATATTCAGTTGCTCATTTTACTCCAATTAATGTGTATATGGAGAATCCCAGATGATGGGCAGCATGGTAATCATTAGTACCTGTTTGGGGTGTATATTCCAGAATTTCTCCTTTCTGATACTGCTTTGATTAAATTGAAACCAATAAGATGTTTAAATTCTCCTCTGAAAGTCAAAATCTGTAGATACATCTAAATATGTCTCATTGTCTCATTTCAGATTCAAGTGAATAAGAGTTGACAACTGGGTACTAAGTAGCAATTGAGTTTGTGGCCAGAGAACAATTATAGGCAAAACAGATTAATTTGAGGATCCAAGAATGATTCATTTAAATGGATATGAAACTTCTGAAGAAAATTTCACCTAGCCGAGTTTGATGGTGCATGTCTGTAATCTCAGCAACTTGGAAGGCTGAGACAGGAAGATCACAAGTTTGAGATCAGCTGGACAAATTAGCAAGATCCTGTTTCAAAATGAAAAGAGCTAAGGATGTGGTTTAGTGGTAGAGAATTTATCTGGCAATTTCAAAGGCTAGATTTAATATGAAATCTAGAACTTTTACATGTCCTTGTTTTTAATTATGTTATGATGATGTCAATTATGAGAATGATGTTACGATAACTACTTTCCATAATAAAAAAATTCACATTTATGTGAATAATCTATTTCTTCATTAGTTGGCCCTAGGTTATAATACAAAATATTACATACAGCAATCCAAAATACTTAGTAAAATCTGTAGTTAGTGATTTAAAAACTATCAAACATATCTGCTTCCTTTTATACAAATTGCTTTTTAAGTATTTAGAAAAGTATACAAGGGAGTTTGAAATAAGAGATATAGAAAAGAAACCTACATCTAGAATAGTGAGTTATTTTAAAAATCTTTCCTAAATTTTCTATATTTCTGTTTAAGTGGAATATCTGCATATTGTGAGACAAACATTTCATAAGTTTGAGAATCCTACCTAATTATGTGCAATCATCATTTAAATATACACTGTAACACAAGAACAGCTACCAGACCTAATAGTCTTCAGAAGCCTGAGATGTCACATTTTTCCCCCATCCTGCATCTAGAATAGAAACATCTCTACTCTCTTCATTTCGCTTCAGACTGATGAGTCTTGGACCATTCCAAACCTTTCCCCAGTAAGGTGGTCTGGTAACAGCTGGCGATTGTGAGCATAATCCGGTTAACCAATCCTCTGAACCTTCATTTTGGGTGTTCGACATTGAGTTATTAATGATTTTTCTCTATTACATATAGCTCTGCACTGATGTGCAGACTATACTATGTGATTCACTGTCAAAGAAATCAGCCTTAAACAAGTATTACCTGTTTTGAACCCCAAAGTGTATCTATTGGATATGTATTACTCATATAAAATGGAAAGGGAAAATGTGGAAAATATTCATCTTCTCTTAATTAGTTACATATCTCTTTCTCTCTTTTGATTCCAAGTTTCTTGAGGGTGAGGATTATGCTTTTAAATATTTGCAGTTCCTTTGGGCCCAGAATTATTCCTTCCATAGTACTCAGTAAAACTTGGAAGTCTTGATCACTGAATATGCAATTACTTTGAATATTCAGCAAACCAACATTTGTTTTGCCTCCACAAGTCATAGTGAATAAGAAGTTCAAGAGAAGGATTTTACTGTCCCTCTCTGCACAGCATCTGCTACCAACAGGTGATGCATTCTGAGGAGAAGAGCCTTGCCAGAGGATTCTCTCTTACCAATGCTCTCTTTCCAGATGTTTCTTCCCTGTGGCATATCCTGAATTATGAGGCCCTGGGAGGTGATTGCAACTACTGTGATGACATATCACACCTGGAACTCACCACTCTTTCCCTACCACATAATTTCTCATAGTGAAATGTCAAATCGGAGTTTATTGCTAAGGGACTTGGTTGTTTATCTAGTAAAATACTATTGCTTAATATTAACTTATCATAATGTTTAGCACCTTAAATATGGGTATATGCATAAAGATGCCACCAAACTATTTTATTATCAGATAGAATTTTTAAAATAGTGTCATTTAGAGGACAGAATGAATGTTATGACGGCATACCGTCAATGCTCTTAAATACACATACTTCTGTTAAACCTTGAATTACATAGTTGAAATACATAGATGAAGTTGTCAGACTGGACTAAAAGCTCTATGAACTATCTTATAAAAAAGAGAGGAAGAACTACATAACTTTTTTCTTCTCTGAAATAGTGAACATTGGTATGTGTGTAAGTACATTGTGTGTGTATATAGGTATGAGTGTGTGTACATGTATTTATATATTCACATGTAGTTTGCAGTCATCCATAGCAAACTTCTCTCTACATCCAAATATTCAAATGATATTTTTGTTTAGTGTTATAAGGTTATTAGTTAAGTAAAGTTTTAGTTCATTAGTTTTTTTTTTATTATTAGCTATTAGTTCTACTTATTAGTAAATCTTGCAAATTTTTCTTTATGTTTTTTTTTTTTAGGATGTTGGAATGTCTTTAGTACAGTTCAGTTTCAGTTAAGCTGAAAAAGACTTCCTTGGGATTTCTTTGTTTTTTAAATTATTTTCCTGAGAAGAGCTCAATAAAGAGTTTGACGACAATATGTTTTACATGCCAATTAAAATATGTCATTTAGAAACAGTTACAATCATATGTCACTTAGAAACAAGTCTTTCTCCATCATATCAACAGTTACAATCAAATGCTTTATATAAGTAATCATATAATCCTTAATTTATTTTTTATCCTTGATTTTATTCCACAAAAATTAAAAGATACCTTTAGAAGTTTGGATATTTAATTTATACTCACAATGCATTTTGATAACTGGCTTTAAAAACAGCCATGAAAACATAGTTCTTGCCTAAAGAAAGAGAATGGGATAATTTAAATGGTTCTGGTAAAAAAAAAATCATATTTTTCTAATAATTATCAAGGAGTATAATTGGCATTTGCTTAGATTTGACCTGAAACATGCTGTAACTTTTATAAAGTAAGCCAAGCGACTCATGGCACAAGTCAGTCATATGCACCACCAAAGTGTTGAAGATAGAGAAGAATCCTAAGGCTTGGGAAAGGGCAGTACTGAAATTAAATCCAAGTGCCATATGTGTGCTTTACAATATTTAATCCTAACAACTAACACTGACTCCAGACACTTTTTGAAGTCCTTCAACACATACTAACTTATTTAGTCCCCAATGAAGCTAGCTATACAGACTTTGTACTATTGTTTCCAGTTTTTAGATGAAGACACTTAGACTGATATAGATGAAGTAATTTGCCTCAGGTAACATAGCTAGCCACCAGAGAACCAGGCTCTACACCCATGTAGATTAAGAATTGAATGAGACCATTTAGTTGGCCACAGAATATGAAAATATAATCCTAGCAGTTTTTAGAGTTTTTTTCTGTGCAACACTAAATTTTATCCCACGATCAAATTCTGGAACACAAGTTTCAATAGTTCACTACATCAGAGAATGAATACTATAGCATTTCCCTCATTATTCTTATAGTTTTGCAATGCATAGGGTATAAAGAAGGTTCTAAGAAGTCTCCTAAAGAGAAGAGATCTGACATAAAGACTCATTGAACCCACCTTTTACAGTCCTTTAGGATGTGTTCCTTAGAAAATAAATTCTGAGAAATTTTAGCCCTACTGTCTTGCAGAGAGAAAATAGAAGCTGAAAATGGCTCATGACCCTAAAATCTTGCCCCACCCTATGTCCTACCTCATGCAGCTTTTAAATCAGCATGTAGGCCAAATAGTTTTGCTATTTTAAGTTTCTTGAAATTTCCTCTTTTTTATTTAACTCTTTCAATAGGAAAACTATCACTGAAGTGAAGATAACTGAATAGAATAGGCTAGTTATATTCTCAGGTAGCAGAAATTATTCACAATAAATATTTACTTTAAACAATATTTTAAAAGTGTTTACTACTAAATATTTCATTAATTCCAAAGCATTTAAAATGTCTAAAAATAAAGTCAGCTGACAAACAAGGAACTCTTATAGTCTTGTGGTTCTAGAGCAGTCACTTTTAGATGAGGACCAGAGGCTTTACAGGCACTCTGTCACCATTTTATTTTTTTGGCGGGGATGGGGTACCAGGGATTGAACTCAGGGGCATTTGCCCACTGAGCCACATCCCCAGCCCAATTTTGTATTTTATTTAGAGACAGGGTCTCAATGAGTTGCTTAGCACCTTGCGTTTGCTGAGGCTGGCTTTGAACTCACAATCCTTCTGTTTCAGCCTCGGAAGCCACTGGGATTACAGATGTGTGCCACTGTACCCAGCTGTCATTATTTCTTTATTGCAAGGTATCATGAAGTCAGTGACGTGTAGTTCAACACACTACTGTTTTCTTCTGACAACTGCATGTTTTGCCATTTCAGTTCCTCCGAAGATATATGATATCTCAAGCGATATGACCATCAATGAAGGAACCAATGTCACCCTCACTTGCTTGGCCACTGGGAAGCCAGAGCCCTCCATTTCTTGGCGGCACATCTCCCCATCAGGTATAGTAGGAGTGAATGCACCACTGTTGCTTGTGCTGTTTGTCATTCTTCTATGACTCCACTTGTATAGAACTTGATTCACTCATGGAATTTCTTGTATCTTCTTTTTCTGAGGCAGGCAGAATCCATATTTTTATACACGTACTTTATACTTAAAGGCTCTGCAATTCACAAAAGTCAAATGAACACTGCCTATCAGAGCCCTGAATTACCCTATCTCTTGATTCCTAGTCAAGGTTATTTTCATTTTAGTATACTAGATAATCACAAATCAATAGACAAAAGGCTCAAATGGAAATATCACAAGAGAAAAATCTTCATTTAAATGTGTGAGGATTTATTCAGTCGGCATTCACATGTTAATAGGCCAGCATGCACTGCTGAAGTAATCAGGGGAGAAGGAAATTATACAATTGTGAGGTTGCTGGGTCTAATTTCAAACTGCTGTTCAGAATCAAGGATTTTGGAGTTAGAATTAAATTTTAACTGATGAGGGTTTTAAAAACCCCAGAGTTTAAGTAACTTGTGCACATAAATCACATAGGTAGGAGAAAGGAAGGACTGAACATGGTTATGGGTTTCCAGTGCTTCTGCCTCAGTGCACACCCTCCCAAAGAGACTAAGTCAATTTTAGGAAGTTAGTGATAATCATCATCAAAACAAGTCTGTTTTCACAGCCTCGATTTAAACAATTGGGTAAAATTTAAAAGTTCAAACTACATAGCTTTGAGCATCCCCTGTATGTGAGAGTGGTATTTTTTTTAATAAATAGGATCCCACCTCATTTCAGATCAATAAAATTTTATTTAATTTTAATTTTATTTTATTTTGATGAAAATAACTCTCACAAAGCTGTGCAGTGAAATTGCTTTTAACAATATCAGAAAGGAACATTTTATGTGGGTGTAGAAAGAACACAATTGGAACATCTATTTTATCTGCTAATGCTTTCTTTAATATCACTTATCCTTAAGTGTCTTTTAGTTTCCTCATTTATGCAGTGAATCTAATGAGACTTACCCACATCACATGCTTAGTATTACTATTAATGTGAGAGAAAATCAATATAACAGCAGTACACCCTTATATAATATGCATTATGGCCCTTATAATATTTCTGAAGTTTGAATGTGCTCTTGGCTGCCCATGCTTCACATTAGAGTTGCTGCAAAATCACTGGTATGTGAGCATTGAATTCATGGCAGCACTCTCTGTGGGATAGAAGTGAAATGAACTCAGAGTTAGCAGTTAGACACATGCACTTTTAAGCTGATACTCTTATACATCAATTCAGCCAGTTCTTGTGCACATCTCAGCCTCAGTGACCTTAGCTTGTTTCCTGTTTTCCAAACACTGCATGATAATGATTTGTGCCTTTTTTCCCCCAGTTGACAAACTAATATGCACTTAATGAGTACCACTGTATAGTTTGAAGTACATATACATTATAGAACGGTAAAATCCAGCTAATAATTAAAAAATGCATTACCTCATGAAGTTATTTTTATGGTGAGAATAGTTAATATCCACACTTTTCTATCTTTCAGGTATTCAATATATCATCATTAGCTATAGTCACCATACTATACAATAGATCTCTTGAACTTGTTCCTCCTATTTGACTGTAATTATTTAGCTTTTGACCAACTATGTATCCTGGCTATTGGGTAACTCAAATAATATAATATAATAGGCACAAATGTATTTTTAAAGTTATAATGTGATATGCAAATGTACAGCTGATTCTTAATCATCTTTCTAGGGATTTAAATCTGATATGGCAATATAATTTTTATGAGAACGAAGCACATAATCTTCCATCTTCATATAATTTAAGATTACTATTTCGGACCTAACTCTCCTGCTTTTCGTGCTTGTTAGTATGCATATTCTTCTTTTTAAAGGCTTGGATACATTTTTAGTTTAATTAAATAGCAGGAATGTTAGTAAAATTATTAGAATAATGATAATGGATAACATCATAAAGCTGAAAGAAGACAGATTGGGTTTATAAATTAAACTGTGCATAGATTTGTTTTTCTGATCCTGCCATCCTAAGCAAATGAGTTAAATTAGCATAAATATTAACTATTATCCAATGAATAGATAGACTTGGAGGATATTTTTATAAATGCCTCCAATAATTTCAAATCATAATTTGTTAACATTAAAAATCCACAGCATGGTGGATTTTCAACTTTAAGAAACACATAATAATAATTCTATTAGCTTTTTATCAGCTGTTATGACCATATTTGAAAGTAAAATTGATAACTTCATTGATTTATTTATATTTCACCTGAGAAATCTCATGTTTTACATGTTCTTTCCTTTGTTTCATCGTGGAAAAAAAATTTGTCTCAAAAGGGCTCTTAATATGTAAACAAGGTTTAGTGTTAAAAACAGGTGTAGTTGTTCTCCATGTCAGTACTAAAAGCAAGAGCTAGTATTGTGCATGTGTAATTTGTGTATCTTTTACCAGTAATTTTGATATATCTGGTTACATGTTCAGGGTCAACTCTAGTTTTATAATTTAATAATAAATTACTGTTCATGGGATGATAGCTATAGAACTTCTAGTCCACAGAAAAATGAGGCCCTGTGTTCAGCCACATCACAAACATCATTGGAGACAGTTGAAATGGTCATTCTATTTATTATTTCAAACAACTTCCTGTACTTTCACCAAAAACATTTTTCCTAGAAGCATCTGGATATATAAGCTTCCTAATAGTCCACTTATTCCAATGATTTCTTCGTATTTTTTCTATTCAATATTTGGCAATTAACTTCAACTTTATGCTAAAAAGTTTGCAGAGATAATATGAACACCCTGTATTCTTTCTTAAATTTAATCAACATTTTGTTTCATCATTTGCTTTGGGTGTTGAGTATGTAGCATGAGAGAGAGAGAGAGAGAGAGAGAGAGAGAGAGAGAGAGAGAGGGAGGGAGAGGGAAACTCCTTGACTTTCTAAGGGGTTACATTTAAAAAAATGTTTTTTAGTTGTAGATGGACACAATACCTTTATTTTATTTATTTTTATGTGGTGTTGAGGATCGAACCCAGTGCGAAGCAAGCACTCTACCACTGAGCCTCAATCCCAGTCCAAAGGGTTACATCTTGATTAACCCATCATAAATTGAAAATATCCTAAATCAAAAATCTTGCAATACACCTAATTTGACAGAACATCATAGCTTAGCACCACAGCACACTGGATAGCATTACTGTGTGGCTGACTGGTAGTTTTAGCTTGCTGTCACTGACAGCTTGGTGAGAGGATATCATACTATATACTAGCTTGGTGAAAGATCAAAATTCAAAGTACAGTTTCTACTGAATTCATGTTATTTTTGCACCATCATAAAGTTGAAAAATCCTGAGTCAAAGTATCATTACATTGGGGCTGTATAAAATTAAACTATTTCATTGATTAATTTGAGAGCAGACATTCAAGGCCTGAGACTTGACCTGTTTAATCTCTGGATATTCCAGTGCATATTCCTAAAGAATAATGACACACTCTTTTCATAACCACAGCAGTTTTTGACTCCTGAAAATCCAGCATTGATATCATGTTTTTATCCAATTAATCCATAATTCGGTTTGCCTACAGGAACATATATTATATTCAGTAGCCACACCACGTTAGTATCCTTTAGTCTAGGGACTAATTCCTCAGTCTTTCTTTGTCATTACTGAGCATTGACAGTTTTCAACAATGTCTGTACCCTTTTTAAAAATAGAATGTTTGTTTCTCATTTGGGGTTTTGCCTCATGTTGCCTCATGATTACATTCTAGTTATGGCCATCTGGAACTAAATAAGTGAAGTTGTATCCTTCTCAGAGAATCATATTCCGTGGCACATGATATCCATCTGTCCCTCATTTGTGATGTTAATTTCAATTACCCAATCAAGGTGTTGTCTGATTTCTACACTGTATGGTTTCTTCATTTTTTTCTCCCCATGCTACCAATAAGCTATCTGTAGGGAGAGATTTTAAGAACATGACATGCAAATATGTGCTATTTGTCAATCCTTCTTTTTTGACATGATTTTGGTTCTTTTATGAACTAATATTTACTGTGATAATCAAACTGGTGATTTTTTTCCCCTAGCTTCAGCAATCCTGCTTTTACCTATTAATACTTGTTATTCTACAGAAATAAGAAACTCACTTTATCTTACATGTTATTTATTTATTTGCTTATATATCTATTTTTATGACATGAATTTGTAGGTTCCAACTTTTGAAATTTGTTTATAATTGTTTATAATTCATTAGTGTCTAATTACTTTGATGTTCAAATTGACCCATATCTGGCCGGTCTCTGTCACTTCAGTCTCACTCCTGTGTCCTGTGGCAAACTCCCATGATTTTCTTGAGTACTTCCATACTTTGTGGCATCACAGAATATCAGGATCATCTTGTGTCTTTCCTGGTCCATTTCTGGAGTCAACCATTTCATTTAATTTCCAATGAATGCATACACCTGGGGGTTTGAATCATTGCTTGTTGGTTTACAAATTTAGCACTATTGATCTGTCTTATACTAAAATTATCAGGGACTGGAGTATCTAGGCTATTTCCTATGATATTCTGCTAATTCATAAAAACTTAAATAACTTTCTAACAATGGAAAAAAAAGTATTTTGTTTGTCTTATCTAAAAATATCCTGGAAAAAATTCCTGGGACCTATGAGTATGTCAATGATGCTTTTGGAATTAATAGTGGAGCACATTTATGTCAAGGAAAACACAAGGAAGCACTTGTGGAACCAGAGGTATGTTCAAGATTGTTTATTTACATGCAGTCATACTGCACCTACCAACCTGTGATGAGCTTCTTGTCCTTGTAAAAATTCTCAAGGTTTTCTGAAAATAACTAATATGTGATTCTTTTTTCCCCCTACTGGCAATATAGGCATCTTATAGTGCCAATGTAGCATAGTGTTTGAGGCCATGAACTTTGATATTAGTCAAATTGGGTGTGAT